TGGGGGACTCTATTATGTATCCATCTAACAGGGAAAACAGACCATCTATTCCTACCTTTTATTTTCTAGCTTTTTAGCAGGAACTGATCCATGAGAGTGCCTTCTCTCTCAGTCCATGACTACTTAGTTTGCTTTGGTGAGGTTTGCTTTCTGAAAGTTCAAGTCCAAATAACTCTACCTATTGCCTCCACTATTCAGATTGCCAATATGTATTGTGTGAGAAACGTCAGAGCTAGAACCATGTATGTCCCAGCCACTGACATTGTGCAACACCATGGGAGATTTATGCTGGGCTCCCATAGGAGGACCCTGTGAAGTGGAGTTTAGCAGGAAGTGCCACACAACAGGATCTGAGTGGCATATCCTCACAACCCCATTGATTGGCTGGATGAGTAACAATACAGGCTGCCTGTCTCTCTGATCCAGACTCTAGGCTCTGGCATCTGACACTGCCTCACTTTCCCTATTCAATTGTCATCTGTAACCTGGTGCCCAGCCATAATCTCCTGGTAATATGACCCTGCATGGCTCCTGATGCCCGACTCTTTGTCCACTGGCCAGTCTCACATACTGACCTGCTGGTACCGGACTTAGCCTGATGGCCAATCCTTGCTCTGGCCACTAGGTCTGATTGCCCACATCCCAGCTGGTACATACTGTTAGTTCTAGTAAGACAGAATCAAGGTTACAGAGATGAGTAGATGATTTTCTACAGTTTGAGTTTTGCTGAACTAGGTGTTCTGAAGCAACATGAGGTGTCTTTGGGAAACAAGGGATCTTTGCCTTTTAATTTTCAGAAGAGACAAAATCCTATGCTCTGAGTGTCCCTAAACTGTTGACTACTAAAAGAGGAGACAGTGAGACTGGGGATGGCTCATTCCATAATAAGCATCCTCTTTACTCCTTCTGAGGTATCTGTCACCAATAGTTGTCTAAAGACAGGATACTGAGCTAGATGGACCATGGCAAAATAAACATGTCACCAGTTTGGGCATGAATTTTAACCCTGGAATGTATTTGGAAGTTTGGTTTAGTTAAAAATCAAATTTCATTATAGAGTGATATTTCTCTGACAATATGGTCAGTTTTTATCTTCTTATATTGGATGCTTTGATTCTTTGAGTGACCAGCTTAAGACACGTTGAAGAAATCTGATGCTTTTAGAAGGTCAAGGTTCATCAATGTATAAAAAGTTAGGATACCCAGAAGTTGAAGGATCACAAGTATCTATTTGCTGTTGAAAATATGTCCAGTGTTTCTCTGAATTAGGTGCAAAAGTGAGCATTCAATAAATATACTGGTTTTTGGTATTATATTTTCATTCTGAAAGGTCCACTGATGCTTAATGCAGCAATTTGAGAAGCTATCATCAGATAACACGCGGAAGACAAAAAAGGTCAATAATGACTTGATTCAAACAGTACATGTCAGGATAAAGGGATCATAAGTTTAAACAGAGCTTATTCTTTAGATTTCCATATGCTACTTCAGAGAGCTAAAAAGAGGGCAGAGAAACTCCTGAAAAGCAATACAAAGAGTATGAAAAAGATCTTGCTTTGATAAACACATGAGCTCCATTGGCAGCACATGCCAAATATTTATAAACATTAAAATTTACTTTCAACATTTGATACCTAGCATGACTGAGACTTTTGTGCTTTGCATATGAAACACCTTAAAAGTCAGGAAATCAATCATCCATGTTTTACTTGTCATGCCTTTTGGGTTAAGCCAAATAAAATAAGTATTACAGTTCTGTTTTGGCTTAATTGAACCTCTGTAAACCCGTTATATAAGTCAAGACTATTTGGGGATAAAAAGAGGATGCAAGGCAAAATAAACATGTCACCAGTTTGGGCATGAATTTTAACCACTGAATGTATTTGGAAGTTTGGTTTAATTAAAAATCAAACTTCATTATAGAGTGATATTTCTATTTGATACTCCCGGGGAGAGTCTGTGTGGCTGTGCAGCCACAGAAGAACACCTCCCTCCTACAGAATTCCTGTGCTTCCCTGCAGAAACTGGCAGGAAAGCAGGAGTATAGATTTCAAAATAGCCAGCCCAGTATTTCTAAATAATGGGCATGGTAGTGTGGATGCTCAACTTATCATTTCAAAATAAGGGGAGTTATACTGAAATAACTCCCCAGTGTAGACCAGAGCCGAATAAGGGGAAGTTGGAGAAAATGAGGAATGGGGATGAGAAGATTGGGGAAAGAGGCAGAAGGGAATGAAGGGGGTGGAAAAGGGCAAGGGGAGGAGAATATGGAAGTGAGGGAAGGTGGGTGGAAAAGGAAAGGGGATAGAGGATTCGATTGGGAGCCCAGTATGAAGGCCCCTCAGCAGCATCTGGGGATCCTCCATTAAGCAGGCCCATTGAACCCTTACCCTGACAAGCCCTACACCCAGATCCCTTCAATGAGCTCCACATACCCAGATCTCAACCCACTGATCTCCAATCAGTTAAGCCCCAGTCCTTCAGCATCCACTCCCCCACTGAGCCCCATTTCTTCACTCCCAAGAACCTTCACCTGGATCCCTTGCAAAGTCCATTGGCCCTGCACCTAGATCCCCCCCAACAAGCTTCCAGATCTCTCACCAATCCCCAGATTGCCCCAAACAGAAACTTCTCACCCCACACCTGGTTCCCCCTTCTGTCCCACACTAAGCCCCTCCACACTTAGATCCTGCTGGGCTGAGCCTGCCCACTCACATCTGGTGTACTTAGTGCAGAGGGGCAGGGCCCAACGGTGTTTCTGGAGCAGGCCTAGCCACTGAGTCATGGACAGATAGATGCTGCTTCATTGCTAAGATTAAGGCTTCTCGGTGATCTCCCACCTCAGTGCAGCCAGTGGCCTGTGCACCCCACTGCCATACTGGAGCCACATTTATTTATCAACAAACAACATTTGCATAATTTTGCAGAATCTTAAACTACTGTGCCCATGATTTTTAATTTAGTGGTGGGCTAATCCTTCAGCAGTAATATGCATATAGCAACATGAAGGCTGGTCTGAGTCTGGTACAAGGTCAAATATTTTTTTCAAATGTTAGCTACATCACAATTATATGCACAAAATGGATGCATACTGTACACACATTTGCTCGTTTTGTGTGCATAGTATGAATTTAAATACTCTATGTATTTTTGAAGGAGCAACGTAGTCACCAATTAACAGTGTTACTCAGGAGGGCAAAAGATCATTAGTAGGAGTAAGGGGTTTAGAGGCTGGCTTTTGAGAACACAAGGAGAGATTCTTTATATTTTAGCTTTAGTGGGACATGGAAATCATTAGAAGCATAACAACGTTCACCAGTTTAGAAACTTCCCTTTGCTCTACAAGGTCTTAATCTAAATATACATGTTAACTTTTTGTTAAGTATGTAGCCCAGGGGTGGGGAATCTCTGGTGCACTGGCTGCATGCAGTTCGTCAGGGTTAGCCACTGGCAGGCCACCAGACCCTTTATTTATCTGAGTGTCTGAAAGCACAGAATCCCAAAGCTCCCAGTGGACCGTGGACTGTCGTTCCTGAACAATGAAAGCTGCAGAAATGAGTGGCCTGGCTCATGCTGATTCCTAGAGCTCCCATTGTCTAAAAACAGCAAACCATGGTCACTGGGAGCTGCAGAGCTCCATGCTTGCGGATGCTCAGAAAAACAAAGTATATCGTAGCCCACAAGTGGCTAACCCTGATGTCACGTTACTGGACTTTGAAGGGAGCAGCCAGATCACTGCTGCACCCATGGGGGGGGGGGGGGGGGGGGGTCCAGCAAAGCCGCGGCTTTGCTCCTGTCCCCCTGCCTGGGCGGCTTTGCTCCGGGGGAAATGAGCAAAGCCACCCAGGCGGCGGCTTTCCTCGGGTGTCCCTGGTCTGCTGGGGGAGGGGGGGTCCAGCGGCTTTGCTGGGGGTAGAGCAGTGGGCAGAGCCCAGCCTATGGACATGCTAATCAGCGGGGCCCTGTGGGACAATGGCACTCAATGGGCCAAGGACACACCTAAAGAATAAGTGGTGACTCATACCTCAGGGCTACCAGCAGGGAACACAGGAATAAGCCGTGGGCCAGGTGACCTGCTGTAGCCAAGAAGAGACCAGGAAGGAGGGATAAATAGGCCATGTGGTGGACTCCATCTTGGTCTTCAGCTCAGCACTTCATCCCAGAGGCAGCAGTGCAGGGATCGAAGAGCCAGGAAGAACTGTGGACCCATCCTGATCCTAGGATGTGCAACAAGGACTCTTAAGCCAGCAGCTGTAACATCTCTGCTAGAGCCTGCATCGAGAACTGGGAGATTCGATGCATGTAATGTACTATTCTTTTAACAACCTTACTGTCATGCTTTTCTTCCTTGTGGAGATAAACCTTTAGTTGTTAGATGCTAAAGGATTGACTCAGTGTGATTTGTGGGTAAGGTCCAGAGGGTAAATTGACCAGGGATCTGTGGCTGGTTTCTTGGAACCGGACAGAAATTGTTCGGGGTAGGCGGGATTGGGGGCTAAGACCCCCCCACCTGTGTATGAGGCCTGGGGCCATCTGAGGCACGGATATTGCTGGGGTGCCAGAGGGGTTTTGCTCGTGAGGCTTCAGGCAGGCTGCTAAAGTGCTCTGTGGGACTGGTTTGTGGCCTGTTTGGAGAGGTCACCAGTCTGGGGACTGTAAGGAGCCCTGAAGTTGAGCAATTCACCCTGAACTGATGCCCTCAGCTGTGCCCAGACACAGCCCGGTCTGTTACACCTGACAAATTGCATGCAGACCATGGGCTGAAGGTTCCCCACTCCTGGTTTGGCATGTAATCAGTAATGAGTGTAAAATGTAATCAGTAAGGAATGTAAAGAAATGAGGTTTCAAGAGGAAGGTTTTGGGCATTTTTATATACCATAAGGCTACATGCTTGCTTTTTACTACATACTTCATGAATTAGTTTACTAACCTATTCATAAGGACATTGCAGTTGTTACAAATGGTTAGTGATTATGGATCAAATTCTGTTTCCCTTACAGGAATAATCTATTTTGACTACAATGAGGCAACTAATGTGTGCAAGGTGAGTAGACTTGGGCTCTATATTAACTGTTTACAAACACAATTAAATGTATCTTAATAGTAAATCAGACAAGTGACAAACAACTGTCAATTTAATGGTTACACAAGTTATATGGGGTCAGGTTTCGGGGAAGTCGTAAATTCAGAGAGAGAAGCTAATCTGTGGTGGTTTATGAAATCACTAAAAGCTTAGGCTGGAGTTATAACCTTGTAATGCAAAATGTGATTTTCTAAATTATATTATACTTTATAATTTGTGGGTCTGACGATAAAAACCAATCTAAAAGGAATCGTAATCGAAAACACAGTACAAAGCTTCACATTTTTTTTTCACCTAACTTTTGTTTCCCTCTCTGTGGAGACACCAAATCACAAACATTTGTTTTCAGAAAAAAGCCATGCAAAACCTTTAGCTGCTGTGTAACCATTGTATATGCCCATGACCATGAGACTGATAACAAACAAACAAGCCACATATATGAAAAAATCCTGCTGTTGTTAAATAGATGCCCTTTTTCTGTTCCTTCATTGGGTAATTCAAATGTCTATTGGTTGTTCTGGAAGAAAATATCTTCTTGTTCTTTCCTTTTTGGAAGGTAAAGACCTTTGCAAAGAAGGATTATGTAAACATCTCTGGCTTCCATCTGCAGAGATACACTCCCTCCTGCCTTACTTCAGCTTTGCTTTGAATGTTGTGTTTAGAGAAATTCCAATTCTCTCTCTCAAAAAGGAATTGTTTTGTGAACATGCTAGAGCGTATATGATCATGTCTGAGTGGCAAAATAGTTTACAAAGAGTATAACAATTGAACCAGAGAGAATATACACAAGATATGAGAGAACTAAATATTTAGGAACCTATATATCTTTGTAAGCATAAGCCTATGTGTCTGGCTACAAAACAAGGGAAAAAAGAAAAGTAAATTCAGTATTTTTTCTTCCACTAATTTGTCATCAAAAGATGTAGAAGATTCTTGGTGAAAGTTCTTTAGTAATCACAGTGATATATAACTGATTTGTAGAAAATGATGGAAATAATTAAATAGCTTTCAACTCTACTTGAGGTAACAATGCTTGAAATTCTGTCTAGTTTATGATTTTGTTTCATATGTATAATGTTCTTCCTATGAATTATCAGTGGGCTTGTTTATTGTAATCACAGTCTACAGAGAAAACATTCTCAGGAAGTCACATTTGCCCAATATATTTTGGGAAAAAAATGATTAAGATCAGACCCTTAATATTTCTGTTACATTATTTTACACCCTGTTATTGTCATTTAGTTCAGCATGAACAGATAGGAAAGGAATAAAATTGTGAAAGCTAACCTCCTACATAAACAAAATTAAAACAGATACATTCCTATTTCATAAGGGATTCCTCACTCTCTTCTCAGCCAGATCTTTTAATAAGCATTTGAAAAATTACATCTTGCTATTAAATGTGAAAAACTTCAGGTGAAAAGTGGAACCCAATTTGGTTGTGTCAACATTATAACTTGTTACTAATAATGGCTAGCTAGAGAACTTGCTTAAATATAGTCACAACTTAAGAATCCTGATGCACAGAAATACACCAACTACCCAAAGATCAGCTATATAATTAGTCTCTTGGTAACAATTAGAGGATGACATATTTCAATAAAAGGGAGGGAATAGGTTCATCAGCAGCATATGTGTAGAATGGACAACAAGCAAAAGTATACATGTATTCATACTACTATAGTTTCCTTGCTGGGAACTTGAGAAATACAGTTAAGGAAATATGCGAAAACAACCTATGGGGAAACTGAGACACACAGTATGGATTTGCTGTGCTCCCTAGGTCACAGATGCTCTAGGCCCTCTCAATACTAATTATATAAAGATGTACCCATGCTCCCCATCAATAATTCAAATCAGACTAAGGCTAGTAGGAGCATACGGTTAAAGAAATATGTTATTCACATGCTTAAGTGTTTTTCAGGTACGGCAAACAAAAAAATTGGAAATTTGGAATTATGGAGTCCCGTATGGAACTCAGGAATTTTTTTTATTTTTTTTTTATAATTTGGTCAGGGTCTTAATCCCTCCTTTTATCAGTGAATATAGGCCAGACATTCACAAAGATATTCTTGTGACGATGTTACCTGCAAAGAGCACATATTCTGCAAATAACCTATTTTTAAAAACAAAATGGATCTAAACAGCATCTGTTTTCCTGTGCTCAGCTCTTATTGAAAGAGTTCCACTAATGGGATAACAGGGAAAGGAAATCTATGCAGCTGTAACAGCGCCATCATTTAATGTATATAGCCAATAATAAAAGTATAGAATTGGTCAGGGTTACTGGTGCAACAAGACCACAAGCTTCATGATACATTTGCTCTCCCTATACAATACTTTTAATATACACATCAGCACAGATGAGTGAAGCTCAGAATATAGTTTGGGTCACAGACCTCGACACTCACACTCTTCCTTCCACTACACTAACTGCTTTGCTCATTTCCTGTGCACTCTTCATAGGACTATCTACTTCAGAATTAACAACCCATTAATACCATACCTTGGTAGCAACTCTGAAACAGGCTCTTTAGTTTACTATGGTCACTTTTGTATCACATCAGGGAACTTAACATGAGACTGAGAATCATGCTGTACCCCAGGCCACTACTGGTATAACTGAAGTCTGAGTTAGCTTTTTGCTGATCTAATTTCTACCTGGGGCCTAAGACCACGTGTCCATGAATTATCGAGTCACAGCTGTCTCCATACCGACGCCCCTGTGGATGAAGTGGAAATTCAGGTGCCATTTCTTTTAATCTATTGGTCTCAAACTTTCAGGGTCATGCCTCTCGCTTACTCCTGTCTTCACTACCCACCTCCCCCCCAACTGGGACTGGGAGTGGGGATGCAGCTCCAGAAAGGTGGGGTGGGACAGACAGAAGTAAGGGGCCTGGCAGCTGGTGCCAGGAGTGGAGCTGGCAGACACTCCCTCCCTACCTTCCCTGGGGGTTGTCCTTGGCCCCAGCTGCATCCCTCAAATGTTTGTCAACCTTTGCCCTGTTAGGGGTGTGTGGGGGACCTCAGTTGTAATCACTGTCCTGTTGCCTTTAACTTAATGGACTGTAGGTTATACTGAAAATGGTGGTAACTGCCCATTACAGAGCAAATTCTCTGGTGGTGTAAATGGGCAAGATAACCCTAAAATTAAACTTATAAATTTGGCTTGGAAGTGTTTAGTAAATTTCATGGCAGATGCATTAGTGTGGGGTTGGCCCAGGTCCCTGTTCTGGGCATTCAAATCTGACACACTGGGTCTCAGTGCCACTTCGATGTTGGGGGCTAATAAATTGAAATTTTACTGCTGTTTCCAATATTTCAGTGATTTTATCCAAGTTAATGACTTCCATGACTTCAGTCATAATCCGAATTATAGCTAAGAAGGACTATACCTATTTACATCAACAGAGAATTTGAACCTTCATTGGAAAAGGATCAACTGAATACACTCATTACTTATACTGAGGCATATTACTGTAATAGTTAGAGAGTAGTTTTTATTCATAGTAAGTCACATGATCAAGTTAAGCCCCACCAATTCCAGGCATCAATCACTAAAATGATTGCTTTGTAGTTAAGGACAAAAATGGGAGAGAGAAAGACGATACATGTCTTTTAATTAGAAGCATTTAAACTCTCTTTTCACAAAGAGATAGGTGATTAGGGTTTCTCTTCTTCACAGAGTTATAATCTAGGATTCTATACAGTAACATTTCCAGTTGGGGCAGCTAAATTATTTTAAAAACTCACGATTAATTGCAATTTTAATTGCACGGTTAAACAATGCAATACCATTTACAGTAGATTTTCGATAATCTGGCACCTTTGGGACCTAGGTGGTGCTGGCGTATCAGGAGGTACTGCATACTCCCAACCCAATCCTCTTCCCCTTTCCCTTCTCCGGAGCCAAACACTGTTCTTCCCTGCTGAAACCCAATCCCACTCTCCCCCCCCCCCAGCTTTATGCTGGGGTCACGGTACAGCCGCACGTCTCCCTCCAGGCGCTGGGGCACATGTGCTGAGTGGCCGGCTTTTCAATGAGCTGTCTGGGATGCCGTGCGTAACCCAATCCCCCTCCCCTTTCCCTTCCCCAGAGCCAAACACCTTCCCTCCCTGCTGTAATCCACGTGAGAGTGGCTGACCTGAGCGGTTCCAGGTTCCGTCCCATTTCCGTCAGGAGCGCTTGACATTTTGATGCCGGACTATCGGGAGTGCCGGACAATTGGATGCCAGACTATAGGAGTTTTACTGTATTTAAATATTTTCTGATATTTTAATACTATCAAATATTTATTTCAATTACAACACAGGTTAAAAAGTGTGCATGGCTCATTTTGTATTATTATTTTTAATTACAAATATTTGCACCATAAAAAACAAGCAAAATACTATTTTTCAGTTCATCTCACACAAGTACTGCAGTGAAAACTCTTTATTGTAAAACTGCAACTTACAAGTGTACATTTTTGTTACATTACTGCACTCAAAAATAAACAATATAAAACTTTAGTGCCTACAAGTCCACTTATTCCTACTCGTTGTTCAGCCAATTGCTAAGACAAAGAAGTTTGTTTACATTAAGGGAGATATTGCTGCCCACTTCTTATTTACAATGTCACCTGAACGTGAAAACAGGTCTCAGAAAGGCACGCTTTATAGCCCGCATTGCAAGTTATTTATGCACCAGACATGCAAAATATTTGTATGCCTCTTCGGGTGTGTCTAGACTACAGAGTTTTGTCGACAAAAGTGGACTTTTGTCGACAAAACTATACCTGTGTCTACACTACTGCTGAGTTCTGTCGACATAACATCGACAGAACTCAGCAGTTTTGTCGACGCTGGTAAACCTCATTTTACGAGGCATAACGCCTTCTGTCGACAGAAGGTGTTATTGCATGTAGGGTTGTGTCTAGACTACAGGGTTTTGTCAACAAAGCAGCTTGCTTTGTCGACAGAACTGAATGTAGTCTAGACGCTCTTTGTCGACAGAAGCTTTGTCGACAGTATCTGTCGACAAAACTTCTGTCGACAAAACCCTGTAGTCTAGACGTACCCTTCATGCTTCAACCAGCATTCCTGGTAAGCAATTCAACCAAGTAAGCAGTTGAAAACTAAAGGACAAGTCTGCTTTCCACAGCTCCCATTGGCTAGGAACAGTTAATTGAAGCCACTGAGCATTGTGGGGCTGCTTGCCTGTGGACACTTAGGTAAACAAACTATCTCCCAGCCTGTCAGCAGCTAACCCTGATGAACTGTGTGCTGCTGGTGTACTGGAGGTTCCCCACCTTTGGGCTAATACCTCTTTACACTGCTCAAGGAGTTCATAGAGGAAATAAAAATGGATGTAAACATACTGTACTATTTATTTTCAGATCACTTTACACTTCCAGAGAGCTGGAGAGTAGCCTTAGTGTAAATTAATGAGTAACAGGCCCAAACTGAGATAGAATTCTCACTCTCGCCTAAAAATCTCTGCTTTTTTGTTCAAAAAAGTTTGAAGTGAGAAAAATGGCATCATCCTCACATCTTAGTAACAAAAACTTTTAAATATTAAAAATCTCCTGATATTTTGTTCAATTTTTGTTTCAAAATTTTGGTGATGAATGAAAATTTCATTAAAATTATTTTTTTTGCAAAATGTCATTGCCAGTGAAATCCCAATTTTCAAATGGATGATTTCTACTAGAACAAAATCAACCCCTTGTAATTATTCCTTCTCTCAGTCTTCCTTCTGTTCTCTTTAATCCAAGTGTCTGTGCTCACAGAAATGCTTCTTTCAAGGCTGCTGGTATGCTGCCAAAGGCCTTCTGCTCTGCTATGTTGCTCTGAGTTGCCTAGATGTGCATTTCCCTTCTGATTAATAACATTATTGGAACTCAAAACAATATAATGTAGCAAGTATAAAAGGGTACAGGGTTTTGGATTTTTTTTAGAAAGGATGGGCATGGAAAAAGGGAGGAGGTGTTGCCCCTATATCAAACATACTTGCACTGAGGTTGAGATAGTGTTAAAAGTCTGTCGTTAAGGTTGGGAAGTATAAAGAATCAGTGTGATGTCATAGAGACCTGTCTAACCAGTAATAACAGTAAATGGGACTTTTAAAAGAAAATAAAATTATCCAAAACTTGGTGCTGATGAGGGACTACAACTGCCCAGACACCTGCTAAGAAAATACAGCAGGATACAGATTATCCAACAAGATTTTAGAATGAAGAGTTTTTGGAAATTATCCAACAAGATTATCCAACAAATTTTTGGAGAAAAGTTTTCATTACAACAGATGAAGACAGTGACTAGGGAACCATATTTTAGATATTATTCTGATAAACAGGGATGAAGTAGTTGAGAATCTGAAAGTGGAATGTTGTTTGTGTGAAAGTGACCATGAAATGCTACAATTATTAATGATAATGATACCATAAAATAGCAGAAGGTGAAAATCAGATGAATAAAGACAAGGATCCTTAAGGACTTTAGCACATTCAGGGTGTGTCTACACTGCAAAGTTAATTCAAACTAACAGCCGTTATTTCGAATTAACTTCAATAGCGTCTATACATGCAAACTGCTATTTCAAATTTAATTCGAAATAGCGGAGTGCTTATTTTGAATTTGGTAAACCTCATTTTACGAGGAGTAATTCCAAATTCAAAATAGCTATTCCGAATTAAGTGCTGTGTAGACACTTAATTTGAAATAGGGGGCCTCCAGCCCTTCCCAGTTTCCCCTGGTGGCCACTGTGGGCCAAACCAGGAAAACTCTTCTCCTCTCCCCAGGCCTGGAGCCCTTAAAGGGGCAGACTCTGGCCACTCACCATGTGCCAGAGCCAGGCCTGCCAGCAGCCGCAGCCCCTCACCCAGTGGCCACATAATGCCATCCAGTGGCAGCCAGCCATCCCCCGCCCAGTCCCCCAGTACTCAGGGACCAGCCAGGGGTTGTAGATGGAGCACGTCCTCATGGACTAGTGCGGAGATCATGGACCTCCTTGAGGTTTGGGGGGAGGCTCTCAATGTCCATGATCTCTGCAGTAGGTGGAGGAATGCAACAGTCTACAGCTGCATTGCGGCCACCATGGCCATAAAGGGTCACAGGCGCACACAGGAGCAGGTGTGCCTCAAAGTGAAAGAGCTATGGCAGGCGTATGCCATGGCCACAAGGGGCAGTGCTGCAGCAGGGGCTGACACCTGCCCCTACTTCTCCACCCTCAATCACATCCTAGGGGGCGGGATGGTCTGCACCACCCCAGGTGGCAGCGAGCCGGGACTGGAGGGCCCTGACCTGGTCACGGCAGAGGAGCCATCACGGAGGGTGCCATGCTTGCAGGACCGCCAAGCTGTCCAAGCACCAGAGTTAGCAGGGTTGTCCAGGAAAGCCACACCAGGAAAGTGCCATCACCATCCCCTACCTGGGGGGAGAGGGGTAGGAAGGGAGACTAGGGACCACACACTTGGCACTTGCCTACCACACATCACACAGCAACTTGTGCATGTGCGAGTACGTGCCATGCCACCCTTGGGCAGGTGGCTTCAGCAGTGTGACACCCAGGGTCCATGGCCTGATAGGCACACGTGTGTGTGAAGAGACCTGACATGCTCCTGACCCAGAGATGGGACACAGCAGGGCCGCCCTCCCTTCACACACACCCTCTACACAGAGGTAGGGGACATCAATCCCCCCGGCTGCACTATACACAGCACAGGGGCACGGGTGCAGTCTTGAGGCAGCTCCCACCCCAGGGAGAGCCGGACATGCTGACCATGGTCACCCTCACGTCGCAGGGTGGGCTGGGCATCATCCACTGTGTTCCCAGGGAGAACTGACCACTTCTCTTCTTTCTCTAAAGCCGCACCAGCTGCTCGTGCAGGGCGCACCACCCCGCCCGGGACATGCTCCCGCGGCCTCAGCAGGACCACCACCACGTGGCAGGGGGACCGAG